TAGTTTACTTTTATGATAATCTGCTAATTTTGTCAAAGTTTGTTTCTCTTTATCTAAACAAAATTATCTGCTAGTTTGTTTTTGTAATAATCTGCTAGTTTGTTTTTGTAATAATCTGCTAGTTTTGGATGAAGTTAGATATAAATTAAATATTTTTATTATATAAATAGTTGCTTTATTTCTGTATTAACTCTGCTTCTTTTTAAATCTAAAAGAAAATTACCAACTATATCCTGCTTCTGAAATATAGCTGAAGAAGTAAAACAAAGAAAAGAAAAAAAATATAGTTTAATTTGTCTTATTGGAGTACCTTAATATATTTAAAAAACAATAAGAAGTTGGAGTAGAGTATTTATAAGAGGATCCTGATTTTATTTTTTTATTCTGATACTTTTTTCTGAAAACAGTTTATTCAATATGCAAATACACAAGAAGTATCGACTAAAGATATAAATTTATTAACTAATCATTATAAGTGAGAAATTGAGATAATTGATAATAAAGAAAATAGTTTTTATAAAAGGTAAAAAATTTAAGTGTTAAAATTATGAGAATATACAAACTCATGTATATTTCTATATAAGAAAAAGAAAACTTCAAGAATAATGCTAATAATAATAAGAATTTGCTATTAAGAAACAATAACAAAAATTCTTTCTCAGGGTTTGAAGATGAAGAAGTCAATTTTGATTTAACTAACAGTTTAAAAGAATTGAATCGTGAACCAATAGTTAAAATATGTTTTGTATCAAATATTAATTTTTATCTTTTGTATCTTATAGCTTGTTTATATTTTTAGTAAGTAGTTGATGATATTAATATAATATAACTGTGTATAGGAGAGCTTAAGAAAATTATATAGAATAAAAGGCCAATTTAACTTCAATAGTATACAGAAAAATAATGATAAACTTGGAGAAACAAAGTGTATTTTTTATAACTGTTGGAGGTCTATTAGACAACATAACACTATGAAATAATAGCTTTACTATTAAGAGTAGTAATAGAGATATCTCAATAAGAAGGATAAGATAAAAGCGAATAATAAGCAAGTGATATCAGTGATAACTTTAAGTCTATATAAGTGATTAACAAGGTCAAATAACCAATCATAAATATTGTTCTTTACTGCAATTTCTGAAAGTCACTAATATGAATAGCAATATCTAATTCTATAACTATTCTAGAATCTGAGTTCTAATTAGCCAAATCAAAGTTACAAGTTAATTCAGTCTATCAAATTGAGTTTCAAAAGAGTTTATTAAAGTTACAAGTCAAATTCAAAGACAATACACAAGAGAATATTTAAATAAGTATATACTTAATTATTTAGTGATAATGAAAAGTAAATATTAACTAACTCACTAACTAACTGTCTAACTATCTCTCACTAACTATTACTAACTGTTTTTTCATTTATTAAATTCATGAGCTTTATATACATTTTAATTTTCAGTAATATAAACACTGCAATTGTGGTATTTATACTAAAAATATAATATAAATATGAAAATTTAGGTATATATATTATAAAAATAATATATATACTGAAAGTTATAAGATATAGTCTTTGTGTAATCATATAGATGTAGTTTTTTTAGTATTTACATGATTTATCTGATTTCTATACAACTAAGCTATTAAGCTACTCATTATTACTATTTTAATATAAGTTATAAAATAATTAAAAAATTTATTAATATACTAAAATTGGATATTATTACTAGAATAGATAGAAATTACTAATTAACTATATCTATTTAGAAAAAATAAAAAAATTATTTACAATAATATAGAAAATTAAAATTTAATTCGATATAAGTAACTAACAGATTTTAGCATTATCAACAAGTTGTTTTCTCAAAGATATAAAAATAGGGTTTAAAATATTTAAGTATTTATGAACTTCTATAAGTATTACCTATATTATTGTACTATTTACATTAAATATATTAAACAATTTTTTATTGTATTTAAAGCTCTAGCATCAATTATAGTGCTTTGTTAGCTATGTCTATATTCTAATTTCACAAACCAAGAATAGAGAAAAATTACAAAAACCAATCCTTACACTTTATATAAATTACCTTTACTACTAAAATTTTATTATTTTTTCGAGAGACAGCTAGTAAACATTTGATTGATGGAGATATTTTTATAAATAGTGGTGAATCAGAATTAAGTAGAATTGTTGCACTAATGTTAATAATCTGTGAATTTGCTTGGCATATACTATCTTGTATCTTATTTATAAAGTTATAGTTTATATAAATATAATACAGATATAATGATATTCTGGAGATTGCTTCATCAAAGTTGTCAGAAGAGGAACATTGCAATATGTTCATATATCCAATTGCTTGTTTATTTTGCAGAAATGATAAAGAATATAAACTTAAATTAAATCAGACTAATGTAGGATCAAAGACAAAACCTGATCTTTTTTGTACAGTAAATGACATACTAATTCTAAACTTTGAGTTTAAACTATTGGGTTGTACTCTATTGCAAAAGAAGATGAACTGATTGAAAGTTTAACTAAAGACCCAAAAATTGATTAACCAATAATTACAAAGAAAAGAAGATCCAGATAAGACAGTCATGTTTTTAAATATTGGTATATATATATTTATAATTAATTACAAGAAATTAGAATTTTTTATAATTTGCTAACTTATACTTTTACAATAGTAAAATAACTCAATAGAATCGTTTTTTATAGATTTGAAATGTGATAGGCTATACTGCTTCTGGCCATTTCTTATAACCAAACTGATGGTTAATAAGTCTACAATTCTATTAGCAGAATTTACAATCAGTTATTTGATAGCTTTAGAAGTATGATATATTTTTATATAAGCTTATAAGGTATTTGTTTACAAATTTTACAATCTTTACTTATTTTGTAATAAGCAAAAATATGTTAAAAAAATTACCAAAGATTTTAAATATCAAAGTAGTCAATTTACATTTCAATACAAATGTCTTACATATACAAATTTTCTGATATACCACTAGTAAAAATATTGCTCAGATAGAATATACGTATTATACCAATTTTCTGTTTGTATCTGATATTATTGCAAATTAGTTTAACTATATAAACATTAATTAACTTATGTAAAAGTTATATTTAGTAAATTTGTATTATTACTATACATTTAAATACATTATTGTATATATAAAAATTATCATATGAAATACGTAGAATTATTTTTTTTTATCTATGATATTGCAACCCACAAATAGTTTATGAGATCAAATATTAAAAACTTCAGATTGAAATAAAAATCACATGCATTATAATTTGTAATACTGATTACTTTTGCCAGAAAAAAATTAGTTTGTAACAATTACTTATTCACTTTACATTATTTCAAAGAATATTAAGATTTTTCTTAATTACAGTTTTTGAAAGATTTATTTGATATTCACATTCACTAGTGCAATAAAATCTATTAATTAAAAAAATCTATATTGGATACATGGATTTATATTAGGTATGAATAATCTTGTAAACAAATAGTATTTAGTAAAGCTAGTATCAAGACACATATAAATATGATTAACCAAGAATCCCAAACCCAAGATACTGTTTCAATTTGTATATGTAATCACAAGGAGGAAATTAATTATCATGTCAAGAAAGAATTATGCAAGATATTACTAAACAGCGTAAAAAGCAAGTTGTAGCCAATAAGAAATCGCAATATAAGGTTGAGAAAAAAAAGATAGAATTGCAAAAAGCAGAAAATACCTTGAATATCTAAAATCTTGTCTTACTCATTAGAAAGATTTAAGGGAGTATCCCAATCTAGACATGTGATTGCTCTATTAAAGCATGCATTAATTATATTACACTTATTATTAATGCTAAAATATTTGCACATTTAAACATAGTAGTTTATTTCGAAAAGAAACCAGGAATTGTTAATAATACTGGCTATAATCAATGTTGCTGTTAATATTCAATGTGACAGCAACCTAGTGTCGCTTAGAAAAAATGGTAGCACATTTGATTTAGCTTCGGCTAAGTATTTTAGGCAAAAATAAAAGTTATGTAATTTATAACAATATCTAGAGATGGGCAAATCGCGGTTTTTCCAAAAATCCTGCGCGGGATAGGTGCCGCGGTTGATCCTCGATTTTGATTGGCCAACGCTGTGATCGACAAAATTCTGGCCCGCATTATACATAATTTTGGTCAGAATTTAATTTTTAATTTTTTTAATTGCAAAAATATTTTTGAGGTTTTAGCCGACCGGGGTAAAATCGCCACCCAAAAAAGTTTCGGACATCACGTGACAAATATATCGAGCACCAAA